TTAAATATGTAGGGACCATTTTCTTCAGAATTAAGGATTATTTTAATCTTACATCATTGCCTTTTCTCTTTTACTTTCCTTTTTAGTTTTATTTTAGGATTCCCTATTTTTAATGTTCATACAGAGATTTCTTTAACTGAAATACCAAACAGTTTCTCTGGTGTGAAAAACTATAATAGTACACAACATCCTAATGAGATAATTAATAATGTAAAATAGGAAGTAAAATGGGAAGGGTGGGGGAAAGGTAATAAGGGAGAGGAAAAAGAAATATGAGAAACTGAAAAAATGGAAATAAAGTGTTTGTAAATGGGGAGGGGAGGAGAGGAGTGAAGGGAGGGCAGGGACAAGGGGAAAAAATGAGAATCAAGACCTGTCATGTGAAGGTACAGGATCCCAATAATGAATGTAACTATTGTATACCTAGATTGTACCAATAAACTCAAGAAAAAGAAAATAAATAAATAAATAAAGGTAAAACTCTTTAGTGTTTTTACCATTAAAGGATGTAAATATCAACTAAATGTGACAACTTTAACTCTGTAAGCGATGGAACAGTATTCAAAAGTAATAGTGTAAAATTACCTAGCTAGAGATCCATACAGCTTAGTAGTTATACTAGTTAAGGTGGAAGGAGGGTAAAAAATGAAAAAAGTCAATTGAGAAATTAATGGGATATGATGAGAAAGAGGAAGGGAAAACGAAAGGTTCTATGGAGGAGTGAAAGAAAATTAATAGTGTTAGAAAACAATTGCAGGAAAGAATGAACCAGAAAAAAGATAACAAAATACAGGAAATGAAGAAGAAAAAAGTTGAAAGGGGAAAAAAAAGGAAAAAGTAAAATTGGAAACGGTGGGGATGAAAAAAAAAACCCAACCCCCCAAAAAAAAACCTAATGAAGGAAACATTAAAAATATAAAAAATGAAATCATAAAAAGATTGTCATAATTTTCTCTGCCTAGCTTTAGAGCCTGTGGATTTTTGAGGTGTCCTCCCTGCACCCTAGAGGCCCCTCTGTCTGTGCACCCCAGACTGTCATTACCATCCATGCCAAGGGTGTGTCCTTGCTTCTTTTGGTAGCTGGGAAACTCAGCCAGCCCTCTGGTATCTGCTGGATGTAGGCCTTGAGGTGGGGCTTATAAGAGACTATTGGACTTAATGTTGATGGTCATTGGTCTTGTTGCTGCCTTTTCTCCCCAGGAGTTGTCCTCATATTCAGGATGAGTTTGGTTGTTTAGGCCTCATCCCTGATGTCCCATGCCATGGGAAAGGAAGATGTAGAGCAGGCTTGGTGTTGGAGGGCAGTCTCGCCCTTGTGTGGAGTGGGCCCCTGTGCATCTCATGTGGGCCTGCTCACTCAGGTGGATGAGAACGCCACATCCATTGCGGGCCTGCCCCTGTCTGCATGCTTACATGATTTCAGAGAAGAGGTCAGATGTAATTTTTGTCTTTACTTTTCTATTGTTGTTTTTCCTCTAGTTTCTCTTAGGACTTTTTTCTTAATCTTTGATTTTCTTTAGTTTGAAAATTACAGGCTTAGGTGAAGTTCTTTTAGAATTGTGCTAAGTGTTCTCTGAGCTTCCTGAATGTATGGCTTGGTATTTGACATTAGTTTGGGTGTAATTCTCAGTTGTTAATATTTCAAATATTTTTTCTTACTTTTCTGTCTTCTGTCTTCAGGAATTTTCTTGTTCATTAACTACACCTTCTGTACTTGTCCCACAATTATTGGATATTCTTTTCAGTTTTGTGGGTTTCTGTTGATACATGCTCCAAGTAAGAGTTTCTTTAGTCATGCCCAATCTACTCACAAGGCTATCAAAGACGTCTTTCATTTCTGTTACAATGTTTTCATCTCCAACATTTCTTTTTTAATTCTTAGCATTTCCATCTCTGCTTTATATTGCTTGTCCGTTCTTAACTTTATCCGTTAAGAGCCCTTAAGAGATCAGTTAAGTGAATGGTGGTGTAATTCCTTTTATATTCAGTTTGTTTATATTTCTTTTTTTGCTTTCTTTTTAGGTTAATACAATCTGTTGGAATGACACTGGAGAATATATTTTATCTGGCTCAGATGACACCAAGTTAGTAATTAGTAATCCTTACAGCAGAAAGGTAAAATGGTCTTTCTTAAAAAAAAAATACATGTGTGTGTATGTGTAAATATATATGTAAAAAATTTAATGAGAGAAAAAAATTCAAAAGCTGGAAATAAAGAAATTTTAAATAGCCATGGTGTGGGCATTTTCACATTGCTAAATTGTGTAATTTAGAAGTTATAACAGGTAGGTCCTTTGGTTCCCTCAGGATACATAAGATTTCAGTCAGCCTTACCAATGCTAGAAAATGCAAATAATCTTTGTTTTATCCACATGGATAGTAATTGCCACCAGTGACATTATCTCAGTAACATTGAAGGGGGAAAAAAGACAATGTGATATTTTTCATTAGCATAAATGTTTCTCATTAGGTGAATTTCCTTACCATTGTGATTTATTTGTGGCATATTAGAAATAAATTTTAATTTTCATTATTTATGAAGCATTGGTCTCTCCAAATTGGGTGCTTTATTTTGCATTTCAGAGCACCTTGGGATACATATACTCACAGAATTAATAATATATATTACTTAAGCTTTTTTTTTTTACTTGGTGCTGGGGATTGAACCCAGGACCTCAAGCATTCCAGGCAAGTGCTCTGCCACTGAGCTGCATCTCTACCCCTGTTATTTAAGTTTGATTATTAGTTTTCCAAAAGAGTTGGAATTTTGCATCTCAGTAAGTCTTGTTTAAGTTTGTGTATCATGACATTGTATAACAACTTCAATTTTACAAACATTCACGTTCATGTTCATTCTGTTTGTTTGTTTGTACTGGGCATTGAACCCAGCATCGAACTCTAGCACTAAGCTACATCTCCAAAACCCACTCACTCCCCTACCCTTTTTAAAATTTTGAGACAGGCTGACTTCAAACTTGCAATCATTCTGACTCATTCTCTCAAATAATTGGGATTATAGACTCGTGCCATTGCACCTAGCTTTAAATTGTTTTAATTTTAAACATTTAGAGTACTAAACATGTTGAAGGAACCTATATCTGTACTTAAAGTTTTTGTAGATGATAATAAAAAGACAGTACTCTTTATTTTGTCACCTGAAATGAGTTTATTTCAACTGGTACATTATTTAATTAGAAGTTGTTGTACTGTGCAATCTTTAGACTGTTTTTATATTAAAATACAACCAATTTCATTCCTTTCTCCTTTAAAATATTATAAACTTTAAAAAATTATACTATTTTCTTAGAGAACATTATAACACAAAACTAATATTTTGGGCCAGGCATTATATTAGGAAAAGTGATATTAAGTATAACATCAATATAAAGGCAGAGAATACTCTCAATCCAGCTGATTTTGGTTTTATACATGTGAATTTTTAAAAATAACCAGTTTGTGTTTAGTGATGAATGGGTAAATAAGTAAGTATATAATCATAAATAGTAGAGTTCTAGGTGAAGCTGGACATATTGAAGATATAATGAACCACTGTAGCAAAGAGGATTAGGGTAAGGTTTTCTGGTCAAGTTTCTTAACAATATGCCTTATTCAGTTGGAGTTTTCATTCCCTAGTTTCTCAAGACAAAGCATACACTTACCTGAATCTTAGTGTTAAGAGGGCCAGCCAGTTAAGAGAATGTTTCTTATGTGCACAAGTTCTTTGTAAAGTGCCTTAGTTTCTTTATACAATCTATAAGAAAATTTGTGCTATATGTAAAATAATGAGTTAACCGAGGAAGTTGTCTTTATATGTAACCTTATTATATAGTATTTAACGTTTCTTTTTTTTTGGGTGGTACTGGGGATTGAACCCAGTGTCAGGTAAAAAAAGCGAAAATCCAACACCAGATCAGAACCACTACAAGCCTTAATTGTAGGGACAGTCCGCTGGACTCTGATCAAAGGAGAGAGAGCAATATGGCAGAACAGAGAGTTTCTTTTATAGGACTGGGGTGGGGCTTATAGGAGGAGCTGGGTGGAGTTAAGTGAGGTAGTATTAAGGGATTGGAGGAGTCTGTGACATTACTAGGAGGGGCTTCTCTCTTGGCAAGAAGAAGCCTGATGGGAAGAAAGCTGTCCTTTAGTAGGTGGGAGAAGCCTTCTTTTTAGGTGAGAAGCAGGGCATTATGGGAAGGGGAGTAATGGCCATTTTAAGGCGAGGGAAATCTAACACTCAGTGCCTTGGTACTGAGCTGCATTCCCAGCCCTTTTTTATTTTGAAACAGGGACCTGCTAAGTCAGTAAATTGCCCAGACTGGGCTTAAACTTTCAGTCCTCCTTCCTCTGCCTCCTGGAATGCTACGATTATGAGTGTGTTCCACCATACCTGGATTATTTTAACATTTTAAAATTTGCTAATGTTGATGTTTAGAATACTGTGAATAAAGCTGCTAAGTTTAGTCGTTTCATTTTTTTATTCTGTTAATTTTAAATTTAGTCTGTTAAAAAGTTATTTCACTTAAAGTTTTTTAGATATGTAGCTAAGTGACTGCCATGCGAAGGACTCTCATCTTTAATTTTTGCTTCAATAGCGTCCTTTATTATATCTGGAGATCCTTTACATTTATATGCTAATTACAAAGGGAGACCTGTTCTGTAAACATAGGTGAATAGTTACTTTAAAATTTGTAAGATCTTTAGTACTAAGGATCCTTTCAAAGTTCTAGTTGAGAATATCATTGTTCCTCGGTCCTGGGGGATTTGTTCCAGGATTGCCATGGGTATCAGAATCCGTGGATGCTCTCCGTTCCCTAATGGAAAACAGCACAGTGTTTTCCCAGAACCCCACACAGGAGTCCTTGTTCTGCGTCCCCTCTAGGTAATGTAGGATGTTTCATACAATGGGAATGCTGTGCCAGCAGTTGTTATACTGTATTTTTTAGGGAATAATGACCCAGAACAGGCAGTAATGATAAAATAAACAACCTCTTTGTTTTGTACGATCTCAGGCGTGGCTGATTGAGTCTGCAGAAACAGGACTCATGCATAGAAACACTGTTTATTTCTTGGCTGCTTCACAACTCATTTTTCTCTCAAATTTTTTTATTATGTTGTTTGACATCTGTTCTAATCTTCTGAAAATGTATCTTTTAAAAATCTGTTTTTTTGTAGTAGTAGTAGTAGCGACTATAATTTGGTGATTGTGTCAGTCAGGACCCAATAAGAAAAACCACACAGTGATTTCAACAGGGAACCTTTAAAGAATACTGCCTGTGAAAAGAGATTGGGATAGCGAGGGTTTGACTTTTAAATGTGCAGAATTAAAAACCCCTCAAAAATAATAGATACAGCGAGCCACCACTTACCATAGGGCTAAGATGAGCTACCCAATGAAGTGGTCCCCCAAACCTGCCCAGTACTAAGATCTGACCCTACTGAACAAAGCACACCATGGCTCACTGAATGGCAGAGGAGTTTCTGCTGGGACATCATTACTGCGTTTCAATTAGGATTGTGTTCTGAATTATGTTGGTTTTAGCTTGTGAGCTTGCATAAAGGAGGGTATATGTGTGACTGTTTTTATGTCAGTGAGAATGGGGTAGACTGTCAAGACTAGTCTTGTTTTGTTTTTCTTTTTTGAGACAGGGTCTCACTATGTAGTTGAGACTGATCTGGAACTCACTGTGTAGCCCAGGCTGGTCTCAACTCACAGCGATCCTCCTGCCTCAGCCTCCCGAGTGCTGGGATTACAGGTGTGTGCCACCACGCCCCGCTAAGGCTAGTCTTATTTAATATTATCAATTCTCTAAATTTATAGCTTAATGATGTCCCAGATTGAACCAGATGGCTTGAGGCATTTTACTAAAATTTAGCCACTGTTTATTATTTTATTTTTTTTAGACAGGGTTTCATTATGTAGTTCAGGCTGGCCTTGAACTCACTGTGTAGCCTAGGCTGGCCTCACCTGGAGGTGATCCTCCTGCCTCAATCTCTCAAGTACTAGAATTCCAGGCATATGCCACCACACCTGGCTATTTTTCCATATTGAAACAGTTAAGATATTTAAATATTGTCATCCTTCAAACTAAAAGAATTTTACATTGAGGCTACCTTTAATGGTTTACTTCAGTGATTGTTTAACTTCTTTGCCTTAGGTTAACAAGGGGAAAACTTGATGTTTTCTTTTTTATGTTTTGTTTTGTTTTGTTTTTTGTTTTGAGACAGGGTCTCACTATATAGTTGAGACTGACCTAGAACTCATTATGTAGCCCAGGCTGGTCTCAAACTCACAGTGATCCTCCTGTCTCAGCCTTCCGAGTGCTGGAATTACAGGCATGTGCCACAAGCCCGGTGTTGATGTTTTCAAATCCTACTTAAGTGCTGAGTAGAACATTTTTCCTATACTAGTGTAAATTTCCTGGATTATGTATGTATATGTATAATGATTTTCAACATCATCATCAGAATTTTAAGTGTTAAAATCAGAACTTTAAGTGTGATAGTATCCAAAACAGTCATCTGGATACCAAAGGAATGATTTTTAAAAGATCATGTTTCTCCTTTATTTTTAAGGAAATGATACTCACTTTGATGTACAGTTCCCAACAGAAAATGTATATTCTAAAATATTTTTTAAAACTGCTCTTCATTTTCAGCTTGAGAAATGATAATCAGGTTATAATGGTAAAGATTATAACAAGGCTTTTTGTTTTTTATTAATATTAGTAGTTCCGGATTGGTATTATATTAGCTTTCCTGGTGCTAGACACAGTACTTGATACTCATAATTTAGAGGGGGAATGATTTAACTTAACTCAGTTTGGGGGAATTTGGCCCATAGTCAGCTGACTCCAGTACAGGACCTTCATGCCGCAAGAGCACAGTGGAGCTAAAAATCTGCTTGGTTCATGGTGGCCAGGGAGCAGAGCAGGGAAAGAGTACCGAAGAGGACTGAATGACAGTCCATCTTAGTACCCAAGATCGTGCCTCCATGGCCCGCCCAGGCAAACCTGGGAGCATGTTCTACTAATCTGCTAGGCATTTCTAAATCAGATACCAGGATTAATGATCACAGGCCACCCCTATCAATTTCACATGCATCTGCTTAAACCAAA